TTATATCAGATAGACTTTCACACTACAAAATAAAGAACAATGCCTTACTTTCTCCCGATAAGTCTTTTGACGTCAAAGACAGTCCTCTCTGGATTAACAGCTGCTTGATTTTTAGCTGCTTCACCGATCAGTCTCTCACCATCAGTGAAGGCTACCCATGAAGGGGTGATACGATTACCTTGGTCATTTGCTATGATCTCAACATGTCCATTCTTGTAAACTCCAACACAAGAATAAGTTGTTCCAAGATCTATGCCAATAACGGTTCCTAACTTGGTAGCTTCTTCTTTAGCTATAGAGAATGCAAACAAGCTCCCTGTTGACAAACCCAACAACCCAATTAGTGCATTGTACGTGACTGTCGATCTAAAATTATTACTTGTTGAAGTGACAAAATATCATGGGAAAGGAAAAGAATTTGCAGAGATCAAAAATCTTCCTAGACATTGTTGGGAGAAATTTGGATGTACAGTTATTACTCGTTTAACTAGTTCAATAAATGTTATTCTTCACGCAGTTGCTACATCATCTATTCTTTCTTTCTCTACGTCGGATATTTAGTATTAAAGCACTTGTTGACACAAAATTGTAGCTGGCTAGACAACTCAGGATGGTCAAATATTTCACATATTGTTCAGGATTTATCATCATTAATTAAGAGAAGCAAAAGAAGAACAACACTTGAACAAATAACATTGTTCAAGTTACCCTTTCTATTTACACAATAACAGTTTTAACAAACAAAACTATGTCAATGATCATAATAGCCGCAAAAGTGGAAAATAACCGAAAATCTGAACTCTAAAATCTGGATGGTTTTATTGAAACAAATACACATAAATGACCAAACTGGTAGCAGATCTGAGAACTGATAGTCATAACAAAACAAACTACAGCTAACACACATCAACTTCGATTCAATTCTACTCATTGCATAATCTCTCAAACAAAACAGGCCTATCATGCACAGCAATTCTTTTGAAAAACTAAGTAGCAGATCTGAGAACTGATACACATACAAAGTCATATCAAAACTAATTACAACTAACACATCGAGAAATAATACACATAAACCTTGCAGTTATCATTGTTGCTTTGTTAGGTCTCTCTGTTCAATTCTCCTCATTGCATAATCTCTCAAAAAAAAAAAAACATACATATCATACACAGCAACTCTTTTTAAAAAACTAAGTAGCAGATCTGATGCTAAAACATATACATAGCCATATCACAACTAACTGCAACTAACACATCAAAAGTAATACACATCGAATTTGCAGTTAATCATTGTTGATTTGTTGCGTTCACTCGGTTCAATTCTCCTCATTCTCCTAATCTACACAGAACTTAACTAGCTCAAATCTCAATGTATACAGAAACGAAGCAGCTATAGAAAAAGGATACCAATGCTTACCTAAAAGGACGATTGCGAAAACGATCGAGGATGCGCGTCTCTTCAACGCAGTAGCCATAGCTCGTAGATCCAAACGAACAATGTGTTCTTCGTTTCTCTTCTCCGATGACAGATAAAGGTAGTTATCGATTTTCCGATCAACAATTGAAGCCCTGCGGCTGCTATATATAGTTGCGAGCCTCCTTCTCTGTTATATAAAGAAGGTCGGTCTTCTTTTTGAATTTTGACGAACAATGTCACTCACGATGACGTGGACCAATCAGATATAAGAGAAGTCGATATTTTAGCCAATGAGGTGCTGCCACATCATTTTGCACGTATTCGGAGCTGATTGTTTTTGTGCATGTCACGTTTCGTGACGTGGACCAATTAGAATTGAGGAACACATGGTAGGAGCCAATCAGCTTTGTTTTAATTGATGGATAGATCTGAACCGTTGGATTAATTAATTGAATGGGTGATGAATGGTGATAAGAGGAGGTGTATTTGGTAGACCATTAACCGCTTCACACCTAAGAACTTCCACGTATTCAGGAGGTTGCTAGAACGTTCACTTATACTTTAACTCTTTTTTCTTTTCTTTTTGTCCTTAGAGATATTCGATAAAAAAAAAAAAAATGAACAATACATATTAGCATGATTTCTTAACGTGTTATCGAACATAAAAATTGTAAAATTTGAAAAAAGGAATATTTGAAAATTATAATTGTATACTTATGTTGGGAACATAAAAATTTGGATGTCTTGACAGCTCTCTAAGAGTTCATGTGTTCGGATCTCACTAGCAGTAACCCCCCTCCTCCCCTTTTTTTTTTAAACACTCTTCGTGAAATTTTTGACTCCGCCACTGAATCTAACACAACATATTGAAGAAACTAGAGATAGCTCGTTTTCAAGAAATTGAATATACACTCTATAGGTCATTTGTTTAAGAAATCCTACCGATGAAAAGTCTAGTTATGAACTAGCTCTTTACCATGTTGACTCTTTATTAACAAAGTGTATATATTTGTCGCCACTGACTAACGCAACATGTTGAATAAACTATAGATAGCTAGCTTTCAAGAAATTGAATATACACTACATATGTCATTTGTCTATGAAATCCTAAGCCTAGTTATAAACTTGCTCTTTACCATGTTGACTATTTATCAACAAAGTATCATACTCGTAATAGGTTTTGATTTATCAAATGGAGAGTCACCAAGTAGGATTCATGTGCTCCTTGTTGGTGGCAGTTGCCTTTGTGCTTGACAGTGTGTTGATGTTTTGCATACCTAAACATGAAAGGTGAATTCAGGATTTCAAGATAATTAATATTATTATTATTATTTAAGATTAGACATAAATTTTATAGTGACAAATCTAGTAATTAGTAAAAAATGGTTTTTTTTTTGTTTCTCATCTGGTGTTTGAAGTTCACATTGAAGCTCCGATTAAATCGAATCGCGCACTCCACCAGTGCACCACAACCCATGTTGGTAGCAAAAAAATATTTAATTACACTATCACAAAATTATATTAATAATTTACATGTTTTGACAATTGAGAAATAATCTTTATAAGGAAGTCTACTTTTAAGGAATCACAAAGAAATGAGTCCGTATACACGAAAAGGAAGGTTCATAGAGAAATTTGAACTCCAAGCCTAAGTGACCGATCCAACAATTTGTTTGTTTTTTGCTGCATTCTCCAAAGTCTTTGACGGACTATAATGGGAACTATCTCTATAGAATAAAATTCCTATCTTATAATTAAATGTTATTTGATTATTCATTCAAAATGTAAATTAAAAGGAAATACTTCTTGATTATCAAAATCTTGGGATTCACCCCTATAAAAGGAGCTTGATCTTCATATTAAAGGACATCCAATTTTGAGTTTAACAATTGTCACATACATATATATGAAGCAAATTAAAGATCAACATTCTTATTTCTTTTTTCTATCAAGTCTTATAGTGTTCTTCACGCTCGAAACTCCTTTGGAATGGCCTTCATCAAGGACAACTTCAAAATCAGGCTAATACAATTTTGTTTATTGTTATTCTTGATTATTTGTATCTGATTTATTGTTATATATTGTTTACTTTAATTCGTTTTACTATCCGCTCAGTCAATTCAATTCATCAATCATTTAAATCATGTTATAAGCTTAGCTATACATATTTTTGGGTATACAAAAAACTAGTTCAAGTAAGAATTGCGCATGAGTAACTTTAATATAGAGCCCAACATCAAAAAATAATAATTCCATGATTTCTACTCTAACACAATGTTATAAACATTGAACCAAATTCAACTATTGTATGTATCCAAATCATTGTAATGAGATAACTCATCTCATTAATCACCGATTTGACATTTCGTTCTTCATTAGTCAAATGAAATCAAGGGATTACAAAAACTCCATTTCAACCTTGAGATGACTATATATATAGCTTGTATTTTGTCTATGTTGGGCATGTATATACAGAAGAAAGAATACTCCCTAAACTATCCCAAAACACAAGGAGGGAAAAAAAAAAAAAAGGAAAGAAGAGAAGTGGGTTTTTTTTGGTTTCAAGTTGGCAATCTGATATTTTGATATTGTATCCAATAATTTCATGTGCTTAATCATATCTTGCCAGTAAGGCAACTTTCCCAAAGGGGCTCAAATTCAAAGTTTTTTTTTTTTGCTTTATAAATTCAAAGTTAAAATTGGTAGTATGTAAAATCATGTGGGACATCTAACTTGCCTTATTAATTTGATTTCGTAATCCTTTACATATTTGTAGCGACAAAGCCAACTTATGCTAAGGGTTATTATGATTTTGACATTCTTTTGTCAAATGTTTATTAGCAAATCAAATCTTAACCTTTGATAATTATTTTCTAAACTCGAGCCAAATTAAGTAATGCATAACAAATAATATGTGATCGTTTGATAGTTGGTTAGAGTTATACATGTATTAACAATGTAGGAATTGGTTATGAAGAGACTAATTATTTATATATTAGTTATTTCACTTTCTATCCTCTATAAAATAATATATAAATTTCATCATAACTTATACATGTATTAGTTATGCGACTTTCTAAATTATCGACCAAACGTAATATTAATTTTCTACATGAATAACTTACTTTCTATCTAGCTATCAAACGTCATATAAGTTATACAACATTAATAAACAAATAACTTATTTCTTATCTACTAAACAATCCCTTTCATCATTATTAACACACCTATAAAGAGGCAAGACATGCAACCTATCCGTATGTAGTAATTTTTTACAATATTTAATAGCTAGTTAAAAAAATAAATTATTCATATAGAATATTAATATGATTTTTAATTTGTAATTTTAAAACTCGTATACATAATATGTAACTTGCATAATTCTAACCAACTATCAATTTTCCGCGCTTATGACATGGGGTCCACTGAAGAAATAAATTTGATCTCAATCTAGGCTGGCTAGTTGCGGCAATAGCCGATCGCAAACCCAATTAAATAAAAGCAGAAATAATATGATATAATAATATAATAATATAATAATAATAATAATAATTGAAACAGATATTAGATTTTGCATAATTGAATTCCAGCTTTTACATCCGCGTTTTCTTCTTCCTCTCTCTCTCTCTTGAACTCCCCCCTGTCTCTCTTTCTCTCTCTTCACTTTCTCCCTTTCTGTTTTTTTTTTCTCCCTGTTAGGGTTTCAGGGGGCGCCGCTTTTGCTCTGTTCGATCTTCACAAGTTTCAGGTTATTCATCAATTTTTTTTTGTTTTTTTCCAAATATTATCTAATTTGATTTTGGATTAGGGTTCTATCAACTGAATTTGATGTTTGATCTATTAGTTTCAAAGATGTTTCATTTTTTTTTGAAAATATCACGCTTCAATGAATGTTTGATATTTGAACTGCGATCTATGCATTTCTGCTTTAATTTAATACTTTTTGATCTTATTGTAACTGTTAATTTTCTTCCTAGTTTGGTTTGTGCGTAAATATAGTTAGTTTGGTGGTGTCAGCAATGATAACTTTGGGTTATTTTCATTAAGGATTTACTTTTGCTGATTTATTGAGTTTTAAAGCTTTTTTTTTGGGGTGAAGTTATGACTGTATTGATGTAGTGGGAAATGCTGATAAACAGGTAATTTGGTTTTGAGGGTTCTATGATGGTTTATACTTGTTTTTGGCAATGCTTAGTGAGTTTTCATTATCTCCAGTTGATAGTTGAAGAACTCGTTTTTTGTGATTTGTTGTTGCTCTTAACTAATGAAAGAAAAAATGTTGCCTTTTTGCATTGGCAATAGGCATGCCATAAGTTTTTCTTGCTGGATTGGTAATTAAGTTGGTCCATTACCGTCTTATTTTAGCTATGTATTGTCTGGTAGTGTAATCCCACAGGGTCTGGGTATGGTGGTGTGTTCACTGCCTTATCCAGAAAAAAAATCTGTTGGTGGGTATATTATGTGATGTGTAAATCTGATCTGTTGAACTTTTCTATATATGGTTACTTATTCTAGATTCGATTTGGTTAAAGTTTTCCATTTGTTTATCCCTAACTCGATTCTCCTGGTTGGTTCCATTGAACTTCTCGTTGAGGCTAGATTGCATTTCTTTCCGTTTAAGAAAGACTTCATTAATCTAGCAACATGGTTTTCCGATGGACAGTTGCTATGCTTATTTCCGTTTTTTTTCTATTAATTAAATTTATCTACTTTCGTTCTGTCTAATGATTTTTTAGGAGCATTACTTCGGGTGCCTTCATTTGGATGTTCCTTGGAATCTAATTAGGACCTTATCATGTTTTTGCAGATATACTATGGCAATGGAAGTCACCCAGATCCTTCTTAATGCACAGTCAGTTGATTCAACAGTGCGGAAACATTCCGAGGAAACTCTAAAACAGTTTCAGGAGCAAAATCTTCCTGGTTTCTTGTTGTCTCTATCTGGAGAGCTTGCTAATGAAGAGAAGCCAGTTGACAGTCGTAAGTTGGCTGGTTTAATACTTAAAAATGCCTTGGATGCCAAGGAACAACATAGGAAATTTGAGCTTGTGCAAAGATGGCTATCACTTGATATGGCAGTGAAGGCCCAGATAAAGACATGTTTATTACAGACACTCTCTTCTCCTGTGCCTGATGCTCATTCAACCGCATCACAAGTCATTGCTAAGGTTGCTGGCATTGAGCTTCCTCAGAAGCAGTGGCCTGAGTTGATTGGGTCACTCCTTTCAAATATTCACCAGGTCCCTGCTCATGTCAAGCAAGCTACTTTGGAGACACTGGGTTATTTATGTGAAGAAGTTTCTCCCGAAGTTGTGGATCAGGATCAAGTAAATAAAATCCTTACAGCCGTAGTTCAGGGTATGAACGCTGAAGAAGGGAACAATGATGTGAGGCTTGCTGCTACCCGAGCATTATATAATGCTCTTAGTTTTGCTCAAGCAAACTTCAGCAATGACATGGAGCGTGACTTTATAATGAGAGTTGTATGTGAGGCTACTCAATCCCCAGAAGTCAAAATTCGACAAGCTGCCTTTGAATGTTTAGTCTCCATTTCATCAACATACTATGAGAAATTGGCTCCATACATCCAAGATATCTTTAACATTACAGCAAAGGCTGTTAAAGAGGATGTAGAGCCTGTTGCTCTTCAAGCTATTGAATTTTGGAGCTCAATCTGTGATGAGGAGATTGATATTTTAGAAGATTTTGGGGGTGATTTCACTGCAGATTCTGATGTTCCTTGCTATTATTTCATCAAGCAGGCTCTCCCTGCTCTTGTGCCTATGCTATTAGAGACACTTCTTAAGCAGGAAGAAGATCAGGACCAGGATGAAGGTGCTTGGAATCTTGCAATGGCTGGAGGCACTTGCCTTGGTCTGGTGGCCCGGACTGTAGGGGATGAGATTGTTCCACTTGTTATGCCATTCATCCAAGAGAACATTTCAAAGCCTGATTGGAGACAAAGAGAGGCTGCAACATATGCCTTTGGTTCTATTTTGGAAGGTCCTTCTCCTGACAAGTTGACACCTCTTGTTAATGTTGCATTGAACTTCATGCTTACTGCGTTGACAAAGGATCCTAATAGCCATGTGAAGGATACAACTGCATGGACCCTGGGAAGGATATTTGAGTTTCTTCATGGTTCTACAGTGGAGACACCCATTATTACTCCTGCAAATTGCCAGCTGATAATCACAGTTCTACTTCAGGCCATGAAAGATGCTCCAAATGTTGCTGAAAAATCCTGTGGTGCTCTCTATTTCCTTGCTCAAGGCTATGAGGATATGGGTGCATCATCTCCCTTGACACCTTATTTCCAGGAAATCGTGCAAGAGCTTCTAACAGTTACCCACAGAGAAGATGCTGGTGAGTCGCGACTCAGGACTGCGGCATATGAGACATTGAATGAAGTAGTTAGGTGTTCAACAGATGAAACAGCTCCAATGGTTTTGCAGCTTGCTCCTATCATTATGACAGAGCTGCACCAGACTCTCGAAGGTCAGAAGCTTTCATCTGACGAGAGAGAGAAGCAGAGTGAGTTGCAAGGTCTTCTGTGTGGTTGCTTACAGGTCATTATTCAGAAATTAGGGGCTTCCGAGCCAACAAAGTTTGTTTTCATGCAGTATGCAGATCAGATCATGAACCTTTTTCTCAGGGTTTTTGCATGTAGAAATGCTACGGTGCATGAGGAAGCCATGCTTGCCATTGGAGCCCTAGCCTATGCAACTGGTCCCGACTTTGCCAAGTACATGCCTGAATTTTACAAGTACCTGGAAATGGGCCTTCAGAATTTCGAGGAGTACCAAGTGTGTGCTGTTACGGTTGGTGTTGTGGGTGATGTATGCAGAGCTTTGGAAGATAAGATCCTACCTTACTGTGATGGTATAATGACTCAGCTTCTCAAGGACCTGTCAAGTAACCAGCTGCATCGATCTGTAAAGCCTCCAATATTTTCATGCCTTGGTGACATAGCTTTGGCAATAGGAGAGAATTTTGAAAAGTACTTGATGTATGCCATGCCAATGCTCCAGAGTGCTGCTGAGCTGTCTGCCCACACATCTGGTGCAGATGATGAGATGGTAGAATACACAAATCTTCTGAGGAATGGAATCTTGGAGGCTTATTCAGGGATATTTCAGGGCTTCAAGAATTCCCCTAAAACACAGCTTCTGATCCCATATGCACCTCATATCCTGCAATTCCTGGATAGCATTTACATGGAGAAAGACATGTAAGTATTGCATGATTCCCTCTGCATTGTACATTTTCTCTATTTAATAATGTGATCTTTGTTCTGATTTCCTGGATCTATCCTCGTTTTCTTCCGAATTGTAGGGATGATGTGGTGATGAAAACAGCTATTGGGGTTCTAGGAGATCTAGCAGATACTCTGGGCAGTAATGCTGGTTCGTTGATTCAACAATCATTATCAAGCAAAGAGTTCTTGAATGAATGCTTGTCATCAGATGACCATTTGATTAAGGAATCTGCTGAGTGGGCAAAGTTGGCCATCACTCGTGCCATTTCAGTTTGAGGTGGCCGCTTTGGTACATACTTTTTTTTTTAGTAAGTCCATGCATGCATATGGTTGTGTCCAGTTGGGTCCGAGATTGCATTCACGAGTCTTGTCATTGATGTTATCTGACAATGGAGAAATCTACACTCTTGTTGTCGTTAACTCATGCGCCAGCACCATGGGTCGAGGTTTTGTTTTGCCGGGGGAGGGGGAGAGGGGGTTACTACTCAAGAGTTGAAAGTCCTTCCATTCAGCATGTGACTTTGCTGGTGATGTGTATTGGGGTGGAAAGGGGTCTGCTGTAACTTACTGAAGTAACAAATCAGGCTGCCGGTTTGTTGGGTTTTCCGTGGGTCTATCTGCTAAGAAGAGGTGCCCCAGATCATCCCTGTGCTGCCGTCTTCTCCAAGGGCTTTGAGTGTCATAATGTGTAAGGTCAAAGTTTTGGTAGTCCTGATACTTTAAGCCAAAGCTTCTTTGATATTGTCCCATCTATTTTTTTTCTTTGGGTCTGTCAGTCGTCATCGGTCAAAGCAGCTGCATTTTCTTTATTTCAAATTGCATACATCTCATTCATTTCTTTTGCATATACTGGTCATGGGGTAACCCACTTGTTTTAAAATTTTATATAGGGAATTGTGTTTGCATCTTCACATTTCTCTTTCTGGGTTGTTTTCCGGCAGTAGGTATTTTTGCACATCAGTAGCAGATTGTGCATCCATGAAAGCATGTAAGCTTCCTTTTTCATGCTGTTACGATACAGTTTTTTTCCCCTCTTAAAAGAAAAGGATCATGCTTGTGATCGTAATATCATAATATATTTGGTTGCATTTCGGAGGGCATGTTATCAAAGCAATGGGAATTGAAGATGTTTTTTTCTTAATAGATTCACATGTTGCTGTGTCCATTGATTGTCCAGTTTAGAAATGTTGAAATCGTTTCCCCAGTATTCTTGATACTAGAGGCAACTGATATCTGCTACTTGCTCAACTTCTATTTATCATATCCAAATTTGCAAAAAAACAAATGCTGATGGAGAAAATTTTGTTCCATTTGCGGAACACAATCTCTTACCAGAAGAAAGATTGTGTGGGAAGAAAATGTGAAATAGAACATGCAATATCTAGTGAGGTGGCTTAGTAGAACGACTCCCCCACCCCCTCCACCACTCCATGCTAGTAAATAAACTATGCTAGCCGTCTTGACTGATTGATCGATCGGAATGAAAACGATTAATATGGAACTACGAAGATGGCATATTTATTTAGGAATTTTGACCCATAATTGACATGCTATGTGCATGAACCTTAAATTGTCAATCAAGCTTTGACGCTGTGACTTAATACAAGTGGAGAAAATGCAAGACATAAAGTATTAATAGAAGGGGGAAACTCTAAAAAGTAAAATTCTATTTTTCATTTCATCATTTTGACCTGTCGTACTAAGAAACTATATGTGAGCTTATCCTTACCTTAGTAGGTAAGTCCAAACAACAATGTAAATGGCAAAAAAAAAAAAGACGAAATTTTAAAGGACAAGAATTTGTTATCATGCTAGAGGAACAGCTGCTGCCATATTCAGCAGTGTCTTGGTGCTTTAACAGCTCTAATATCTAGACTATAGTGTCTACATTGACACCCCTTAATTGACGAATTAAGGTGATAAAGGGTTGAATCGCAGTGAATCATGACCACTTTGACATTTACAATACCTTATCACGTATCTAAGTAGTTTATAAAAGTAAGTACTCTCGATGGAAATTGTACTTCTACCTGGTACACAAGTTTGGATTTGACAATTTGGAGTTTAACAAAAGAAGTACTAAGTAAATGTAAAAATAAAGAATTTCAGCGAAGGAGTGTCAAATAACACTGATGGAAACAAAGTGGTTTTGCCACTGGCATTATTGTCTTCAAAGCATAGAACAAGAAGAAATGTCTAGTTTCCTACGTTGTCATGCTTTTTACTGTCTGTTATAAAGATTAGTACTATGATTATTTAATGTGATTAGTACTACTTTACTATGTTGTGGTTAATTGGCAATCCAACATTAATTAGTAGTACTAATGTTGTTTTAGGTTCCCCGGCAACCTAAGAACCATGGTGGAGAACAAAACCTTTTTTTTCCTAATAATTGTACTCAAATTCTCCCAATTAAAGTTACACCATCATTATCAACATTTGATTAATTTAAACCTTGTCTTAATGAATGATTAACAGACTTAAGTGAAAAAATTAATTTAATGTGTTGTCTACTTTTGGGTAGTGCCTTCCACTTCCACATTATGACTTTTTTATCAAATTTCAACCCTCTAAAAGAAGGGGCTTACATTCATTTCATTTGTAGGCCAATGTCCATTTCTTGTCCCCCAAAATAATAATAATAAAATAAAATAAAATAAAATAGTTGATTTTTCAAAAGTGACGAAAGCCGAAATATTAGGATTAGAGGGCACTAACAAATTTACTTTAATTTGATATTTGGTACTACGGAAAAGTCAATTTTGGGAAAAGTTGTCTTTTGAGGAAAGTGTTTCTTTTTGGCCATTGAGGAAAGGAAATATAATATTTCCTCCGTCTCGTTTTATATGACATTGTTTAATTTGATACGATATTTTAAAAGAAAAGATTTTTTTTTTCAAATTTGTGGTCTAAATTAATTTTTAGATATTTGTTTAACCATGATCATTTTATTAAGGATAAAATGAGAATTTTAAAATTAAATTATTTCTAATTATGATAATATAACATTTTTAGGGACAAATTAAAAAGGAAATAGTGTCATAAAAAAATGAGACGGTCGGAGTAATAATAATCAAACAGGATTGATGATGCTGTAAAAAGAAGTTGACAGAGCTACATGGTCCACGTTGAATCTTTTTCGTTGAAAAATTATACTGTATAAATAAAACATTTTTGTTATTGTATTTATTGTATAAATTATGAATTCCCTTAAAATACGATATATATTTAAGAAAACTTCAGTGTAGCGGCAAAGGTTGTCAACTTACTAAAATGCAAATAGGAATCATAAATGTGGTCAATATCATGAAAATAAATAAATAAAGAGATAGAGACTCAAATTAAAGGGAAAATGTCTGAAATATATTCGAACTTTGATCGAAATTGCTGTAACAATAAATAGTAATGTGTCCATGTGAGCACATATATACGTTTAAAATACACTTTTAAATAGTGCAAGGGGTAAAAGGTCCTCCATAAAGTTTGGTATCATAACAACAATTTCGACTAAAGTTGAAATATTTTTCAGACCCTTTTCCCCAAATTAAATTGATATTTCCCCAAGGAAGCCACATAAGGCTTGCACTAATCGAAATTTTGCCATAGAGGAATTGAATTGTATGTGAAGAATAAGGAATAGAAAAGGTAATAAAAGGCGTACATACCAATAGATCAATTGGTATGTATTCTTGAATTTGAAATGAAACGAGTAATGCTTCTTAGTATGGACAAAAAAGGCCACTTAGATCAGAATAACATTTATATAAATATTCAAACGTAAAATATAATTGAATATGGAAGAGATTTATTGACAATAATAACAAAAAAGAAGATAGATATAATTCCAATATAATTAGTGCAAGTTAACTGAATAACGTAATTGATGAGTGGGAATGTGACTTATAGGTACACCTCCGGTGAAAAGTAAAAAGGCTAGTCAACCCCCTCCCCACAAAAACTTACTTTAACGCATGTTTGAATTCTTGATATGTCATACTTACATTTTTTGAATCATCTCCTTAGAATTCCCAACTTTAGTACTATTGCTTGTATGCAAGGGTGTATCTAAAGGGAGGAGTGTTGGTTTACGTGCATCATAATTCTCTTCCTAAACCATGTATATCAATGTTATATTTATATAGGTGCACCTAAGTTCAAAGAGTCTTATGGTACAATAGTTATCGAGTACATCTCTACTATTGAAGTTTAAAGTTCAATTTCTAAAAGGTTAGAATCCGTAAAATTTAAATCTTAGATTCACTCTTATTTAAGTATTTTCTTTTTCTATGTAAATGTTTGAGATAAGTCATGAGTCCTTTCCACAGAAAACAAATGATGAATAGTGCAAGAGTTGAGCAACATCCAATTAAATAGCACTTTGGAGGGTTTGATAGTGATTTTGTAATATGAGGGGACATATGGGAAAAGATGGAAAAGCATTATGTGAAGATGGATTGGATTGATACACAGCATGAGCTATTGGGGTACACAAGCATTATAGAAAAGCACATTGACTTCTCATAAAGGTGATGTAAACAGAGAGAGCAAAAAATATTAGCTCTAAATGGCACAACTTTAGCCATGCAATACCAATGTCAAAGATGTCCACATGCATATATAGTTACACTTGCTTCTATGTTTTTTTCTTTCTTTGTTTCGAGATATCGTTGAATTCATGCAGACCTAGCGAAAAATAGGCTATTATAAGAAGACAAGATTTGTATAGGGTTTACTATATTTTAGACATGTTGCGACACGTACATTTACTCTAGTGCCCCTCTCTCTCTCTCTCTCTATATATATATATATATATATATGTTAGGCGTCTTTTTGTCCTATCAGAGATTTAGCTATGCCTATAGAAAATACGAAGAAATTCTAGTACTAACTCTTTTTATTATGTGTAATTTCATAGAGCTGATTCCAACTTGATTGGAATTCATGAGACATAATTAATATATTAATTATTGTAGTTGTTGTTGGTAGTATGAAAAATGTTTTATCGAATACTTGCTACCTCCCAACAACATAATTCTTGAATAACTCTGCTATCAACTGTTTATGTAAATGGAAAGAATTATCTAGTAGTATTTTTTAAAATCTTTGTTGAGATTTAAACTACAATTTTCACCCGCTCCATTGATAACTATATTAGGTATTGCACTATTATATTGTTGGCTCCTCTATATATGTTGATGTAACATGTTAGATATGTAGTAAATTGGGTATCATATTAGTGCAACTTTGACTTGTTGTTTGTGGCATATAGGTGTTGCAACTCATCATCATTATGTATACCCCTAATGGGTGGGATGCACCATCACCCCCACCCCCCACCCCTACCCCTACCCTCTTCAATCCTCACAATAAAAAGCCCTTCACTTCTCAACTTGATCTATTCTACTAATTTGGCTTATAGCAGAAATTTTGAATAAGCACACAGCCATGAGACCTACTTCCAAAGCATTTATTCTGTTTATTTTATTTCTCATCTTTGTGTCATCAGGTAATTTGTACTTACATATAAGGTTGTTTAGATTATTCTTTTTTTTTTGTTGCTAAAAATGACAATTATCACCTTTAATTTTCTACTTGCATATAGCTTAAAATGTGTATGATATTGATTAATCTTGTTTTTGCTTTTGCTTTATTTATTAGGTACTGTTGAAGGCAGCTTGGGCAATGGCTTAAACAGCATTCACAAATTTCAAAAGGTATTAGAGGGTACTTGTACGATAAAAGTCATTTTTCAAGAAAAATATTTTATACGAAGAAAATTAGTCATTTTTTTTATATGAACTATACTGAACTCTTAACTTCATATCACTTGCTTTAACCAACATTTAGAAATTATCATCAATTTTAAATACTCAACAAGTTTCATCAAGACAATCTTCAATTTGCTAGAATTTAAAACTTTTATTTCTCACAGCTTATGTTTTTTCTTTTTCATTTTAATTTATGTCAATATAACAAGAAAATAATACATTGCTTAGATTCATATCCTTCTTTAACCTTTGTCCTAGCCTTGGTGGATAGAGTTACCTGGTACCTGTTGCTGGTGGGAGGTGGCCAGGCAGTGGTGAAACTAGGATTTTTAATTAGGGGGTTCAAAATCTGAAAAGCTAAACACACGAACTAATCGAAGGGGGTTCAACATCTACTATATATACATAAAAAATAATTTTAACCATGTATAAATAGTAATATTTTCCGGCGAAGCCTAACACAAGGCTGGCTCTACCCTTGTGGCCAGGGCGTATACAAGAGGGGGTTACCGGGTTCACGTGAACCCATGGTACCCTCCCGAAATCATATATAATAGTGTTATATTTTTAAAAAAATATTTCAATATAGATGTGTGACCCCACTCTTGAAGTATCATATAATGTCGTACGATGATGATTGGGTGCACCTCTCTAGGTGAGGTTAGAAATTTGAATCTTTTATCTATCTTGTTTTAGTTTTTTTTCTAAGATTTTGTAACAGGTGTGGAAAGATAAAAGTTAATTTTGGACCTATAATTTTAAATTTTTAATGATTTTATGTAAAAAGAACCTAATCAGTCTAATTTATATCTTAGATCTACCTTTTCGTAATAATGCACCCATCATCAATAAATCCTGGATACGCCTCAGGTGGCAGGTATCACGTGGAATTAGTCCATATGCACGAAAGCTGGCTCGGACACCACAATCATAAAAGAAAATCCTTCTTTAACCTTTATATCGTTAGAGTGCATATATATATATATATAAACAGAATCTTAGGTCAATCATTTACAACTCAAGTAATTAAATGTCATTTGACTAATTATAATTAAACTTTTGTTGCAAAATTTGATCAGGGGATGAGAGAAATACCAAGAAAGTTGATGGTGGTGGATGCAACGTTAGATTATGACTATGCAGGACCTAATCCCAGGCATGATCCCACTAGAAAGAGAGGTGGCAATCACCCTTGAAGAAACTTTGCATACTGGGGTTCAAAAGAATCAGTAGTTTTGGTTCAAATTCTATATTTTTATGTTAAGAAATCACGTAAAATATGTATAAATAATTAGTCAAAAACTCAGTAAGCTGCGTTTTCTAGAATCCAGAGCCCATAATTTCAATATCTTTATTCCTCCTATGAGTGTGTAGAGATTTTGTTTACAATATTGTTGCCTCAGGGCATAATAAGAATTGCAAGTCTCTTGATGAGATGTTGCTTGAGTTTTGGCTTGTGCCTCTCTGTTATGTAAGCTAGATAGTATTATATGTTAGCACTATTATGTTGTTTGAGTTTTGAAATAGTGAAATAAAGAAAGTTGATTAGAATTGTTTGTACATTTTTTACATTTTCGAAGAAGGAGTCTTGGTGCAACGGTAAAGTTATTTCTGTATAACCTACTAATCATGGGTTTGTGTAATTGAAACCGCCAAAGGATTTATTGGTGGACCTTTTCATAGGTGTAGCGTAATTATTAGTAAAGTAATTGGTTAAATAATTGATATTTCACTTATAATTACAATTCTTTTGCCTAAATGGAACAAATCTAGCATACAAATTCTAAAGTTATTTCAATGGGTTCAGAAATCACATGTATTTTTTAAGTTGCATACATGTTTACTCAAGAAGAAAACTTTTTTTCACTATTGATAACTTTTAAAACCATAATATGATGATGTATAAGGTAAATCCAAGTGATTCTCGAAAAAAAAGCTAAATTACATGTAATTCAAACCAACCGACTTTTGCCTCCATAGATGAATGGCTGGAGTTATGTAGCGTCAGGGGTTTAATTGGATCCTCTTTGTTAGGAAATTATAATGTATAAATAGGGTAAAAGTACAATATTTTTTTGTTATATTATATGTAAAGCATTAAAATGAGAATTATCATTATAAGGGTGTCATATTTTCTATACAAATATATATTTCTGGTGGCCAAGATCATTTGAATTATGTATTAAAGTTGTCATCATAGACCCTTAGTTAGTTCACTATTCATTCCACATTTCAACAGTTAAATTTGGAATTTTCCATATTTTTAGAATATACTATCTAAAATGCTACATAACTTAATTACCTTGACAAGCAAATGTACAAGGTATAATTGAAGCTTTATGTTCCTTTTCATACAAAAATACTATATACAATTAACTAATATTACTATCAAACTTCTAAGGGAAAATCATTGTTGATAGCCATATTCCAATTGACACAAAACTGATTGTCACTAAAGCTTGTCCCAGTTCTAACACAACATTCTGTTTCTTTACTGGTAACTTTCGCCAATCCGTCCTCCTGTAGATATATCGAAACAAATATAAAGTAGATATATAATCATACTATAATATATAGTGCTAAATTGTTAGGAAAAAAAAGTAAAATAGAAAAATCTTGTGGATATGTAGACCACAATATAAGTACTAAAAGCATGTCAAACTTTGGGAAAAAATGTAAGAAAAAAAGAAGCTCAGCCACTACAACTTAATGACCTTTTCTAATGGTGTGTAATCACATTATGTCTTCATCAAAAACTTTATTGTATTGACTTTTTTGTAGTTGATAATGATGATCAAAAGGAATTTCACAGCTAAATAAGTTTGACTATATATCAAGGGGTTCATCTGATCTCTTTTCGTTGGGAAATTACACTGTATATATAAAGGTCATAATTATTTTTCATGTATTTGTTATAGATGTTGAATCCCTTTGGTTTTTTCGTGTTTTTACTTCTTTATACTTTGAATTCCGTTGGTGAAAATCCTAGTCCGGCTACCTTTACTCAGAGGGTACAAAGAACTATCTAGCCTTAAAAGAAACTATTATTTTCATTCTCAAGTCACCTACCAACACCTTAAGTTTCTGAAATTATCAGTAAAAGTACATTGGTTGCAAAAGATCAAGTGCATACCCCAAATCAGCAATGACAATGCTGACATTATCTTGTGTCCGTCGATCCTGAAATGTAAGATCAAAGAGCTAAGTATATACACTTGTGTGCGCGTTTGGAGATTGTTAAGTACAGAATGCAGAGATTTTTCGTACCAAGGCTAACCGTGCAAGAGCTTCACAGGCTATCTGTTAGGAGGGAAAAAGAGGCAAGTTATATATGGTGCTACAACATTGCACACAAACTAATTAGGCAGATGATATTTCTTACCTGAACATCACCATGCTCTCGAAGCTGGTTCCTAACGAAATCTACTATTTCATCACTGAAAAAGTAAGACGAAAAACTCTAATGAGATTATGATCTTTAAAAGATTCAATTGGATGTAGTGTCTAATGATCCTGTTTTTCCAGACCTTTTCATGTAATCCCATAATCCATCAGATGCTAATAGTACAAATTCGGTATCTGATCCAAGATTCACCTGTAAAACATCTGGAGATGCTATAACCAAGTCTCCCCTGAACTGAATCCTAGAAAAATAAACAGAAACAAAGCTTTTACTTGCAAGAAGTCATAATGATGCTGAGAATAGACAGCTTGTACTTCTCGGTGATGCATGAGCTAATGCAGCATTATCATCGGTATGATTTGCAGCTCAAGCAAGAAATGGAAATTACCGAGAAATGAACTTTTCAGACCATCTGCCTTCTTTAACCCCTTTCTCCAGCATCCTAATAAGCAATGATCAGAAAGAACACGTTATTTTATTTTTCCAGGGAAACCAAGATATGCAAATGAATAGAGCATATGCTTCCTATAAGTTTAACAGAAAATCAGAAAGAACGTACTCTTTCTTCTTTGTCTTGAATCTCATATCACCAAAAGCACGGGATACTGAAATATCATTACAAATTCTTCCATTGACAATCTGCAGACAAATTATACATCCAATGTCAACACACACGCTGAATAATGTTCATCCTGAAAGCAATAGTACTGAACTCGTAATTTGCTCTTTCTCATATATTCTCACCGTTTCAAATTGTTTGTCTTACTTTCCTTTTTAGTCCGTTCCAAAAATAATGTTTCTTTCCTTTGTTGGCAACTCAGCCATTTCAACTTTCCACATGTCATGTTTAAGACCATAAGATTCAAAAGTCTTCCTTATTTCCTCAAACTTCGTGTCAAGTCAAAACCAGACAAACAAATTGAAACGGAGGGAGTATTATTTTGGCAAGTCATTTACTTGTTTGCATTTGTAGATATTGAGTTTTTGACCCGTATTTCAAGAAAGAATGCTGAATAGAAGTAGATGAATAAAACAATCGACTATTCTAGGGGACGCTGGGAGGGGTCTAAGTGTAGGAAACACACCCATCCACCTGCTTCATTTATTCTTCTGATTTCTTGGAGAGAAACCTTGTTGTTTCCATAGGGCCTGTGTGAATTGGTTAGTATCTCTGCTTTTCCAGATCGGGACAACACCTGCATTAACATTTGGGGATTCCGATGGTTAAGAAAACACCTATCCATCTCAAAGAACATATCAACAATAAGCATTTCATTGTCAGCAGGAAATGAATGCTCATTTACCACAGATGAATCTCCAACATGCGCGATAATCAGTGTATCATTCCCAACAAATACAGCAGTAGCTGTCGCACCAGATTCATCTTCCTTCTCGCTACTCTCAAGCCTTTTCCAAAAAGAAACAGCATCTAAACCTCCATACAGAATACAATATGAAACTACATGGATTCTTTTTTTTTCATTTACATGCTGCAGTAGCTTACCGGTTCAAGAGTTTCCTATCCGCATTTTCAAAAGCTTCTTGTAGTGCCTTCCTGATTGCATTTAGGTCCTTTCTGTTCAATAGCAGCCCACCTTGTAATGCTGTAACACATTCTTTATACAGCTCTTCCCTATTGATAGTACATCCGTTATCCAACTATGCAGAACTTCAAAGTAAATCTTTCTTTAAGACACATAGAAACTACATAAATCTCTTTATCAAGTAAAAGACGATATAAAGAAAAATGAAACTTTGTAAGTTATGTTGAATCATATAATCCTTCATATAAAAGAATCACTTACTTAATCATATCTTTAACACACACACCTCATTTGTGGGTCTGATTCTTTCTTTATCTGTCAGCTTTGTTATCATATTGAATTGTGTGATCATCTCAATTAAAAAGGCCTAAAGCTTAAGACTTTTAGACGAGAGTACAGTCACACAATTCAACAGCTCAACAGAAAAAGGGCCAACTACATATGCGAGAATTATTGATTTTTGACATACCTAAGGAACTTGACAGAGGAGAAGCCAGCATGGCCATCAAAAACAGCAGCATAAGTGAAGCCATCAAGATCATCCAATTGAACGATGACAGCATCATCTTCCATCTCTTCACGCGGACCTTGGACCATAGTTGAACCCCATCTGATGCCAGAAACACTGGTTAAAGGAGTCGGCGCGTCGATTGCAATTGCAGAGCAGCATCTTCCTCTTCCCTCTCCACCTCCACCTCCACCTCCACCAACAGGTTTATGTATTATGTTCTTTTTGGCAGCAATTTTGTAACTGCAAATTTTGTTTAAAAGAACCTTTTGCAAGTGGGGACTAGATAAGGCCATTGATGAAATATGGAGGAGTCTTGGTTCTCACCAGACTAAGTTAGTGTAAGATCGTCCCCCAGTAAGCAGAAATTTGCTTGGTTAAGGTTAACCAAGGATAAGAAGACTTGGAAGGCAGAATCCATAACTGATTTTTAACCAATTATTGACCACTAGTTGATAGCCAGATGGGTACTTCTTGTGGTTTCTGGGCAAGAGAATTTGGGCTGAAAACTTCCTTAAGTAGTGGCCCAATGATTGAGTAATTGTGCCACAACAATTTATATCATCTAAGTAATTCAAAAACTGGTGGTAATTTTGTTTGTGTCAGTATATGTAATGCTTTACACAATGAAACCAGTTATCTGTCTTAAAAAGGGAAATTAGCTACTATGTAAATGAAAATGTATCTGAATAGAATACGGTACTACTTTGTGCCATGAATAATTAAAGACTAATTAAATACAGAAACAGATCGTCTTCTATCTTTATAAAGAGTGTTTTTTTTTTTTGAAGTGCTATGATTTTTTTACCTCTCATCTTTTGGCATTAAATCCCTCAGGTGAAAGTGAATATACTAGAGAAGTGCTATATGAATACAGAAAGCATAGCTAACTAATGATCTATAGTAGTTCGTCTTTCAAATATCCAGGGCCTGGCTTGAAGGGGTCAGAGTCCATGTATGCTTCTGCGCGATAAACTCCAGCATCATTCATACGATTACTAAGCACGTGAAGGATAGCTTTCTTCGCACCATATTCATCTCGGTTGTTCTCAACATACTGTTTGGCCTCTGCTGCGATCTCATTGACAAAATCA